CAAAATTTGCACTAAAGGTAGAGCATCTGCTCAAGAATATGATCCAATGAATTATCAAAATTTGATCAAAAGTGCCCGAATACTCATAACGGTACGGACTGACCCAATTAATGTATACAATAAAGAAGCACAACAGAATAATAAGTTTGAGTAGTCACATGTGGCATCTTTGCTAGGAAAATGACCCTCTGAGATTATGTTGATTTTGTAAATAAAAATTAAATTTGTTAGTCCAATTTGAATAAACTTCATTCAAATCGGATAACTAGATGGCTGGCAAATTTAATTTTTATTCACAAAATCGACATAGCCTCGGAGGGTCATTTTCCTAGCAAAGATCCTATGTAATTTTTACTGAGAAAGTGACAACCTCTCTATTTCATAATTATTAAATTAAAAGTTAGAATTTTCATTGATTTAAAAGTATTTAGTAAACCATAGGTTTTCTTCTAAAATTTTAGTATTTAAATGTAAGTTTAACGATTACCGAACAATCGTTTGACAAAAGATGTATCAAGGCTAGGGATGGGACTAGTGAAGCTAAAAATTAAAATGTAATAAAGGGAGGGCCGTGTATTATGGCGCACTTAGGGATTCTAATAGCAAAATTTTTTAAAAAAGCATATTTATTCACAAAATTTATCGAAATAAATAACATTCGATTTTCTAAACTTCTAAAATGTGTGATGTTTTTTTAGTTGGGAGGTATTATGGCGCACTATGCATACGTATCGATATTCATACGTACGTACGTATTGCGTTAAGATATCCTTTTTTATATTTGGTATTTTGCTGATCTCTTCCTGCAACTGCCCCAAAGAGAAAAAAGAGAAAAAAGCATAATAACTGCACCATAATACCCAACTTTCCTCAAGCCTTGATCAGAATTGATTAATTTTTGTATCATTCGATTCGTCTCAGTAAAACGAATCGAATGGTACTAAATTTATTCGATTCTGATCAGTATATCGCAAGATATCATCAAAAAAACATAGATGCGCCACAATACCTACCCGCGCCAGAATACCCGACCCTCCCTTATGCAGTGATCTATCGAAAAAAAAATTAATTCTTAATAAATGTGACAGTTAAGTATCACCTATTTTTAACCCAGTATTCCATACCGATTATTATTTAGATTGCATACATGAAAGAAATATCATTCGTGCGAAACTCTACGACATGATCCTGAAATCTTCATGATTTTTTAATCATGCAGGAGTTAAGATTGTGTTACGCACCTGTCATTCATTCATTCATTCATTCCAAAATTTGCTCATGCTAAATGATGATTACACTTACTGTTAACTAAGGTAATTCTTATTCATTGAAAATTGTTAATGGGGAATTTATCTACGTATTAAATGTTTATTATTTCTTATAGCCGGGTTACGCATGTACAAGATAAATTTCATTAAACTGAAGAAGGTAGAACCAGATTTTTAAATTAAAGTTTTCCCGTAATGCACAAGATCTGAAACCAGGAGTAACAAGAATTCTCCGTTGCTGTATCCCTGCCCTTTTTACCTCTAGATATACCTATTATTTTACAAATATATCTTAATAGTACGCATATTAATATGTACGCACGTATCATTTCGCTGCAAAGATATTAATTGTTTTAAGGGATTTCGATTGTAAAACAATCCTTAACTCAGAAAACAATTTATTTTTTTTTCTCGTGGCGAAAAAATTGTAAGATCTGATTTAAATGGTGATTTGAGTTATGTCAAGATTACAAGATAAAACTCTTTCGTAATATAATGATGGAACATATAACGATAACATGTGTATTATTTTCGTTACGTAATTTTTATATAACTAACGTCACTAAACGTCATAAAATTCCATATATACTTTGATATACTTTGATTATATCACCATACATCAAAAAAAAATATAATGATGGGATCAAATAAATTAATTTATGCATCTTTATTATCATTATTACTTAATAATTGTATAAAAATTCAACGCCTCTAGAATCAATCTTTTCGTGTTTCCCTGTTCAATTTGTGGTTATCGAAGAAAAAAAGAAAGAGATATGGGAAACAATTCTAGTGTTACTTCTAATTCTTGGATTTCATTTAAAACAAGTTTAATAAAGAAATATGAAAAATATAATGACAGTAAAGTTGAAAATGACGAACATCAAAATGTATTAAAGATTTCTTTTTAGTATCTTGTTTTTTTTTAAAAAAAAAAATGGTGACAATGGTGACATTAATTTCTTTTAGAATATTACGGAAATTCGGCGTGAAAAAGAATTTCGTCAAAGCCAAATCTCTAAGAATCATTATAGAGATTATATCTTTGATCATCGAGCTCTATTGAACCGGTAACGATCAATGATCCATTCATTATTACGGTAGATATATCGATATTGATGCTTTATATTATTTCATAATATTTCACGACTATTCATCAAAGAGGTCAATTCGGTACCATTCACTTGGCTGTAGTACGTCCAAAAAAGAGCGACTCCTCTCTTAAAATGGTGGTCGTGAAAGTTACTCCAATCGCTGTGAAATATTATAATCGTTGGTTTATAGGAGATAAATGTGTTAACGAAGCAATTGCAATCAAATGAAACAGTGAATATGTTGAGAATGAAGCAAAGACGCTGTCATGTCTTTGTCATGCAAGTTTATATTCATAATTAATTTCATTTTTAATCAAACTATCAAATTATTCATTATCTTAATTAACGTCTCTACTTTTTCTTTATTTTAGCCAAATATTATTAATTCTATAGGATGGTTCATAAATAAAGACGCATTTTATTTGATTGTTGATTACCATGAAGGTGGAACTTTGGCCGATTGTATTCCACCAAATGATGCGGTTAAATATATAAATATATACATGATCATGGTATTGCCCATTGCGATATCAAAGTATGTTTTACTTAATAAATTTATATTATTATTATATGTATATATATATTAATCCATTCAAACCTTTTCCTTTATTATATAGCCTGAAAATATTTTACTTTCATCAGATCGTAAACGTTTAATCTTAGCTGATTTTGGTCATTCTCGATTAGAATGTGATGACCTTATAAAGGATCCTCAATATTTTCAGGCTAAAAATGAAGCCTCAAAAGTTATGAAAGGAACGGTAATTATTTTTTAAAAAAAACATGCTCGTTTTTATTTTTACCTTTTTTAAGAAACCTTCATTTGTAGGCCGGATTTTATAGACCAGAACGTGATCCGCGTGAACACATTCCGTTCAAAGGTTTCAAAAAGGCTGATATGTATAGTCTGGGAGTAACTATCTATGTTGTGTAAGTTCTCCTTGTTATTGTCATAATCTGTTGCTTAAGATAACAAATATATCTATCATATTCATAATTCTATCGTATTCATAATTGTATTGAAATCTATAGTTTGACATATCACCTACCATTTGATCCAACACAATCGATAAGGCATCAATCATTATTATTTCCTGATCATATATCATTACCAGGTACGTAGATACTTAGATATGAGTGCGTGTGAGAATGAAATTATTAAATAAAGTTCCAGATTTTCACTCTTACGCACTCATATATCTTTTCGATTCACTATGATAACATATATATACATATATACATTAATTTACATATAATTTTTTTGTAGCTCAACATTTTATTCAAAACTTACTTTCTATTGATCCATCACGTCGTATGAATATATCTGATTGTTTTAATCATTCTTGGTTAAGAATTCATGACATTTCTGGTCGTCGTCCAAAACAATCTTTAAATGATACTAATCAATCTAAACAAATTCATAAAAAACGTTCTAAACAAAATAATCATAATATTTTTTCTCGTAAACATTTTTTTAATCAAAAACATTGTGGAAATTCGATTAATTCTATTTAATAGCATTTTTGCTCATAAAAAGGAAATAACTTGTATATATATAATTTGTAAAACTTATTAGCATTTATCTATATCAAATAAATATAGAAATTAAATTATATGATAAATTTGACACGTTGAATTTCAATTATCCTTTATTTAAAATATTTAAAATATTTTATAAACTAGTTCAAAACAAACTAATTGTTTTTTTTTGAAAATAGGTCCTTATAAATTTCAAAAAACTTATGTTTTGAAAAGTTTGTAGTTTGTATACAATGTTAAAGTGCAATTAGATAAATTATAAGATCCAGAGAACTATTTTGTGCGAAAAAATTGCAACTTTTAATGTACTAAATTAGCAAACATACATGTATACAACGAATATAGGAAAAAAAAGAAAACATCAAATCAAAACCAATTCACCCCACTTTAAATGCGGATTTACATAATCAATTTTCGTTCTCTTTGTTCTCTTTGGATTTCCCTTTGTCAGATTGCTCTTCATCCGTTTTATTGGTTTCACCACCT